CCCACAACCTACTACAACGTTCAGACGCGAACTGATGGAGAGAGAGAGAGAGAGAGAGAGAGAGAGAGAGAGAGAGAGAGAGAGAGAGAGAGAGAGAGAGACATACAGACAGAGAGACAGAGAGACAAAGAGCATTATAGGGAGAGAGAGAGGGAGGGAGAGAGAGAGAGAGAGCATCATAGGGAGAGAGAGAGAAAGAACGACAGAGTGAGAGCATCATAGAGAGAGAGAGAGAGAACCAGAGAGAGAGAGAGAGAGAGAGAGGGAGAACGTTCGATTAGCATGTATCATGATTGACACTTTGATTCAATATCCTAGCAAAATCCAAGCGGGACCTATTATTTCATCACTCGACTTCGTCTGAATATAAATCTGAATTGTGCGCATACAGTCTCGCACGCATCCGCACACACGCACGTATATACACATACACATTGACATATACATGTAAACACACACACTCGATGGTTACTCACAAACGAGGACATACATCACCCTCTCTATTGTTCAGTCCCACAGAAAAATTATGGGACCATGCAGACTGGAGCAAACTTGAACAAATTCATAATTGGTTAGAAATTAATGCGACACTTATAAAAGAGCTAGTATATAGGGTTGACAACTTGGTGCATGTTCAACTTCACTATGTTTTTTATAAATGTGAGGAGATCTTGTTTATACAACATAAAAACTCCCACAGGAAATGAAAGTTGAAAAAACATTCCATAAAAAAAAAAATCTTTTATATTTATAAATTATCATTCCAATGTTTGTCAGATTCTAAAATTTTTAGTTTTATTTGATAAGTTATCATCTAAATACGAGTTTTCCCTTCCAACTACATCTATTTGTTCAATATGGAATGAAAGTTTGGACGAGTTTATGAAATGTTTTAATTAAATTTTCATTCTACTACAACAAATATCTTCTAATTTATATTGGATTAACCTATTTATGACTGAAAATCCTTACTTATAATGACAGTCCAATTGAAATATTTAATGAACTCATCTAGACTTTATTCCATTTTAGCATGCGGTCCAAATAAGAAGGGATACCCTATTCTTGAAATGAAAGTTTGCGAGTAAGATGAAAATTTTTAAAATTGGAATGACATTTTTTAAGATGGAATGAAAATTTGAAATTAAGATTGTAATTTTACTATAGAATGATTATTTCATTCTGGGAAAAAAATTCGCCGTAGTCGGACACCTGTGCTCTTCCCGTACGGACTGTGGCCGTAGTTCGCCACTCTCGGGAGCGCATGGTAACCAGGGTTTTAAGATTTTACGGTGGTTGTGACGTGAGATGCGATAGGTGCTAGTAGTGAAACTGGATAGCCTTCGAATAGGTGAGAAATGCTAACTACGATGGTGCTTAGATCATAGTGTTGCTCAGAAGTTGTTGGATCGTAATACTGCACGGAAGAGATGTACGGAGGAGGAGAGAATAACAATAACGGTAGCAACAATAATAACAGGATGGACGGGAACAACGGCGGGTATAATGGGAATGGGGGTAGAAACGGGGTACAATGTTACGAATGTGGGAAGATGGGGCACATAGCGAGGGACTGTTGGGCAAAAAGACCAAGGACCGGGCAGCGGGAGGATGAGGTACGGATTTTCGTTCGAAATACGATGAAAGAAAAGGAAGAAGAGCGTGAGCGTAGGGCGAAGGAGGAGGAACAAAAACGAAAAGAGGATGAGGAATGGAAGCGTGAACTGGACATAGCGAGAAGAACGGAGGAGATGAGACTTCTCTTGCAAGCTGATATTGAGGAGAAGTGGAGGCAGCAGTTGCGTTCAAATGCAGAAGCAGCGAAGGTGGCGGCAGCTACGGAATCGGTGAAGGCGAAAAAAGGGGGGACAGAGAATGCGGTGGAAAGATCGTCGGCAGCACGAGCAAGTCCTAAGACATCACCGAAGAGGAAGACCAGCGGCAAGGGGAAGAAGAAAGGACGGAATGCGCGAGGCAAGACGAAAAGGAGTACCAGGAGGAGTTTGCACGACTGCGGAACTTCAGATAGTGAAGAAGAGAGTGGATCGGAGGCTTGTACAGACTCAGGAAAAGACACGGAAGGGGAGGCGCTTAAGATAGTACAGAGGCTGAGAGAAGAAAGGCGATGGAGAAGGTCGAAGAAGAAACTGACGAAGGGAAAGGAGAAGGTTAGACAGGTGGCGAGTACGTATGAGAAGGGTGAGTGCTCACGAAGGCAACATACGCCGACAGCAGCGAAGGATAGCTATTCAGGGGAGCGCAAGACACCACTGACAGACAAATATAAGGGAATCCCGGCCAGCTGTTCACAACAAGCACTAGTGGACTACACACCTTCGGTGATGAAGGAATATTCAAAGAAACGGGTGTCACAACTATGGGAGTTGTGTGATAAGCACGAAATTAAGTCGGCTAAGAAGGATGAGATGGTGGTCGAGTTAGTTACGAAGCAGACGGAGATGGCGTATGAGGGTTTCTTCACTACACCTACCATGGCCGAGAACAAGACAAAAGCTAGGATGGAAGGACCAGAAGATGGAGCCGAGAAGACACCGACGGAAGTGGTGAAGATGAGCATTTCAATGAGAGGCAAGGCAATGTGTTGTGAGCAACCAGGAGTTATTTTGCGTTCGGCAACTCCTGAGGAATCGTGTTCGGAGTCGGATTGACTCACGATGCCCATCTCGACGAAGGAGCTATGGAGATGTATCGAGGAGCTCATGGACACGCGGAGATCCCTCAGGGGGGGGGGATGCAACGACGATGCACTAGCTAGAGTGGAGAGGGATCCTGCTTGGACTTAATGGAGAATGCAGGTGGTTGGCAAAGTACTTCGACAAGACGCAACTGGAAGAGGACACATTGGACATGCGGACGGGAGAAACGTACATCATTACGAGTCCCTGAACAAAGAAGGTCTACGTTGGTTGTATCGCGAGACCAATCCTGCAGAGATGGCGTCAGCATGTGCAAGCAGCAGATACCGCAATACTCGGGAAGGCGCCTAAGTTGTACCGTTGGATGAGAAGATTCGGCATAGACAATTTTGTGATCCTACCAATCAGGCATACCACCGAAGCTGACGATTTTGCCTTCAAGAGGTACCTGATTCGGGATTTGTCATCGTGCCTTAACACAATGGGAGCAGGGAGGCAGATAGGGACAAGGGTGAGAGGAAGGAAGGGAAGGAGGGAGAGGAAGCGATGTGGAGGCGTTACGAGAGGGAAGGCGGTTGTGGTTTTTGAGACGAGCTGTGGAACTAGGACATCGCTGGTTAACTGGTTGGAGGAACAGCAGAGGGATGAAACAGGTGGGGAGAGGGTGGTGATATCTAGAGAAGGCGAGCATTGGACGGACGACTGGAAACAAAGCAGAGCACGATATGGGATGACTGAGGTTAAGACGAGGAATGGGCTTATGTGTCTCAAGGATGCAAGGAAGGAGTGCCAACGAGGTGGACATATTACTTTCCTCAAGATTCACAAGACACCGACGACGACGAAAAGGAATAAGGTGACTCTACGCAAAATGTTGAAACAGCCTAGAGCGGCATTATCCATGGCTCGGATGACATTTTCGAGGCTTATTGGCCTATACAGGACTGCGGGACTGTTCAGCAAGAAGAGTACCAGGAATAAGCTTAAGGTAAAGATAGATCAGGCGGTGAGAAAGAAGAAGGGAGTGAGCATTCAAAGGAAGGTCACAGTTAAGTACCCGTACTACTCTAGGATTTTGAAGACTGAAGTAAGAAGGATTACGGAATCCGTGGTGGAGAAGAGGGTGAAGGACGAACCAGTGGCGAGTTTTATGAAAAGGAAGATCAGAGTCGTGAATACCAAGAATATGACAGTTGCGGACTTAATCCATAATCATCGACGTTTTGCGAACACTGAGCAGGTCGTTTGCGGTTGTGCGAGGTTCGAACTTTTAGTGCTAACGAGACTGACAGAGGTGCCGGATACGCCTGGCTTTGTGGCAAATTCGAAGAATGTCACTAGAGATAGCCAGCGGACTGGTTTAGCTCGGGTAAGGATCGATGTTTTGGAAGCAACATCGCATCAAAAGGGAGAACGGTGCGAGGATCTAGATGTTAGTAGATGTATGCGGGAACCAGGAGTGGTGGAGGCCGCCTGGACGGATGGCGAAGTTAGGAGCTGGGCGTCGCGGTACGACTGGTTGGTATGCGCCCCGATCGACCGAAATGCCGGTGATACAGCGTTGATATGCCCATTGCTGTATCGACATGCTTTCGGGAAGGTCTTCTCATGGAACACAGATTATGAGAGAATCCATGACACTGAAGAGGAGGTACTGAAGAAGTGCAAGGGTGACTACCAGAATGAGGGACTGTTGCAAGCGGGAAGCTGGAAGGCAAACAGGAAGCTCGGAAAGGCGTATGTGATACCAAAGGATAAGGATTTGCAGAAGTGGAGGCCGATAGCGCCTGCCTGTAGTGATCCAGCTCTGATCGGCCAACGGAGATGCGCAAGGGCTCTGTTCTATCTTATCATGCGCTACTCAGGGAGGACGAATTTCCATCTGAGTTCGGTGCAAGAGATGTGCGACAAGATGCAGAAGGCGAATCGGGAGCTAGCAAAGGAAGGATGCACATGGGTGGTTGGGAGATGCTATGATGTCAAAGAAACATTTTCCTCGATATCGCACGAGGTAGTGGAAGAAGGAGTACGGGAGTTGTTACGATATTTTGATGAGAGGGATTGGAAACAAGTAAGGACGACTACCAGGGGGAAGACTTGTGTGATGTCGAAAACGACACGAAAGGAGATAGCATACGTCTCGATGGAATTCGAGACAATTATCAAATTAGTGCGTTATGATCTAGGGCACGTGTATATGAGGTGTGGTGAAGGGATCGGGAGGCAAAGGGTAGGAATACCAATGGGAAAAGCAACGAGTCCGGTGCTGGCTACAATTACGTGCGCCATGGCCGAGAGGAAGTGGCTTTCTGCATTAGGAGCGGATAGGAGGATGGTGCACGGTTGGCGGATGGTAGACGATGTCTCAATCGTGGTGGGATACAAGGACGATGGGGTATCGAGGGCAGTGGCGGACAAGGTTTTCGAGAGCTTCGAGCAGTGCTATGATAGTAACCTGAAGCTGGAGAGAAAGGATGGTGAGGTGAACTACTGGAATTTTATAGGCGGGGTCATGTACGTGGTACCTGAACCACTGCAGCTGCATTTCGTAACGGGGACCAAGAATACGGTATCACTCCGATCAAACGGTAGACTGAAATACCAAACCATGCAGGATTATGCTAGCTACTCGGAGAAGAAAACCAAAAAGGTGGTTCTTTCGGTGACACTGAAACGGCTGTGACGTTCGACAACATCTCAGGCGCTTAGCATATCAGTGGTTGTGTATGCCATAGTTGAGAGTTCCCTCCGGGGTTATACCCTGGAGGTATCTCTCGGTGCCTTGGCCAAATCGGCCAAGGGTACGGGAAGCAAGCTATTATGTAGTCTCGGGCGTGTCTTTTGTGAGACGACAAAGCTGTGGACGCGGGGCTCGAACAAGAGGCCTTGGGATGAGGATCTGGGCACGGCGCCTACCGTTCGCTGAAGCCAAGGGCTACGGCGCCTGTTACTCACCACGCCCGCTTCCGAGGTCCTCAGCGACCAGCAGAGATCGAAGTCGGGGGCATCCTGTCACGCTCCCTATTTTCTTTTTCTTCCTTTTTGTAATTTAGCAGCTTCGATCAGCAAGGAGTTCCAACAGTCAACTGGTATCGCTCAACAGTACGTTTCAGCAACCAATTAATAATTCAGCCAATTCACGCAATAGGGAGTTTCAACAGTCAACCGGTGTCACACAACAGTGCGTTTCAACAGCCAATGGATAATTCAGCCACCCCACGCAATGGTGAGTTTTTAGCAGTCAACTGGGAATAGCAACTAGGCCACCACAGCAAGTTTCACAGTCAACTTTGGATGTGCCACCCCACTTTCTCTTTCTCTCTCTTTCGCAGTTCTCGCTCCCTTACTCACGCTGATCTCTCTCCCTCAGTCTCGCTGCTCTCTCTCTCTCACTCTCGTTGTTCTCTCTCTCTCAGTCTCGCTGCTCTCTCTCCCTCACTCTCGCTGTTCTCTCTCTCTCAGTCTCGCTGCTCTCTCTCCCTCAGTCTCGCTGTTCTCTCTCTCTCTCTCTCTCTCTCTCTCTCTCTCTCTCTCTCTCTCTCTCTCTCTCTCTCTCTCTCTCTCTCTCTCTCTCTCTCTCTC